TATAGGAGCTTCCTAGCTGAAAACCCACGAGCGGTTCGCTGTCCCCCAGTGCTGCAGACTGAAGGCAGAACTTGCCTCGGACGCCGTCCTTCTCAGTCTCAGCTGTGGAGGGCAGCTGCTCTGGCCGAGGGTCCTTCCCACCCAGCATCCCAGAGGCAAGGGAAGCCCATAAACTAACATGAGAAGAGAAACAAAGATGAGCCAACAGGAGCAAAAGCAGGAAAAGCATCCCTGAGTCCGTGTGCTTCTTTAAACTTCATCCTCCATTTCCGTTTGCCTGTTCTGAGCCGTTCTGGAGACTGTGACCAGGAGAGCTGAGCTGGCCACTCACGTCCAGGTGTGCAGGCTCTGCAGAGTCACAGCCTCCTCTCCTTCTGTAGGTTGACTGTCACCGACTCTGATGGAGCCACCAACTCCACCACGGACACTCTGATCGTCAGCAGTGCTGTGGACCACCCACCTGTGGCCAACGCAGGCCCAAATCAGACCATGACCTTGCCCCAGAACTCCGTCACTTTGAATGGAAACCAGAGCAGTGATGACCACCAGATCGTCCTCTATGAGTGGTCCTTGGACCCCAGCAGTGGGAGCAAAGAGGTGGCCATGCAGGCACGTTCTCCACCTGCTCCTGACTCTGGGTTGTCTGTCCGTATCGCCCATCTCTATTGTTCTCTGTATCTATCTCTATTGTCCATTTCTATCATCTACATCGTCCACCCTTATCAACTACAGCATCTATCTGTGTCACCTGTCACTACCATCTATCTATCCATCTATCTATCTACCTTACTCCCCCATCCATCCATCCTTCCTTCCATATTTTATTTCTACCAACTGAGTCTTGGTTTGGGGAAGGGGCAGTTAGATCCAGAAAGTCTGCTTTCATAAGTGTGTCTGTTAGACTACTGCACTGATAGAGGAGCACCTAAGCTCCCAACCCTTCCAAGTTCGCAGCCTTTCCTCTCAACCAAGCTGTCCTGTGTTGATGACTGGATCTTGAGGCTAATTTTGGTTCAGTTTCCAGTACTGGCCCAGAAAAGAAAAGGAAGAATGGGCTATTTTATATTTCCTTGGTTAAGAGATTTTTCCAAATTTTCTTTAACGTAATTATTGAGCCTTCTGTGCCCAGAGCTAATCCCTCAGAATCCACCCCCCACCCTGGACGTGTAGTGGAGGGAAGTTACGGGGCTGGGTCCCCGAGTGAGTCTGGCTCTCCATAGCAGTGCGGTGGCTGCACACCCCTCTCTCCCTGCCCAGAGACTGTCCACAGGAACATGTTATTGCCACATGGTTGATTAAGATGTCCAAAGGCACGAGGTTCGTACCCACTGGGGCCACCACCAAGTCGAGTTCTGAGAACCAGACCCTTTGCAGGGCCTGAAAACCACACCAGGCAGCCTGCTGAGGCTGTGTGGCAGACTGGGGAAGGGGCCGGTTCTGCAGAGTTTCTTTGTAGACACTTTGCTCAGGCAGACCCATGGTCTGTTCAGTTCCCGTGTGCATGAGCATCCCTCTGACCATACCAATTTTGAGGCAAGTACTAGAAGTTATGCTTTTTCTGTTGAAATTTTCAGAGAAATGTGCTTGGTCTGTTTAGTTAAAGTAAAGGGTCTGTGGGGGAGCCCAGAGGCAGGGCATGGGCTTGGCGTCCACAAGGCCCTGCGTGCGTTGATCCCTAGCACCAGAGGGGGAAAATAGAGGAAAGCATTTTCTTTTAAAATTCTTAAGTATTTATGCATTTCAAATTTCAGAATATCATTCCTTGTGATAACACAATTGATACTGTATCAACTTTCTTTATCAATTTTCCACTAAAACCTTAAGAAATATAGACACATTTATATTTAGGCATTTCTGGGGTATTTAAAATTAAATAAATTGAAATAGGATTACAGTTAAAATTCTTTCCTGATGCCATGAACTGCAAATGTAAGAATAACTGAAACTATTACTAGCGACAACACAGCAGCATGCACATGCTAAGCACCTGCTCTACCACAAAAGGACTTTCACCTGCAGGCACCGAGTGTGGCTGAGAGCATGCTTTTTGAAAAACGGTGTTGCTTTTGTTTGTTTATGTTTTTTGCCTTAATGTTAAAATTTATTTTTTAAAATTTATTTTATATATTTATTTTTTATGTGGTGCTGAGGAACAAACTCAGGGCCTCGCATGCACTAGACGAGCGCTCTACTGCTGAGCCACAACCCCAGCCCCCAGATTTATTTTTGATTGCAAAAGTAATATATGAATTGCTTCTTACAGGAAAAAAATTAAAAATCAGTTCAAATAAACTCTGATAAGGTGAAAATGTATATTGACTACCACTCTCTTCCAGGTCCCCTATTAGAGGCAATTTCTTTGATAAGTTTAGTGAGTGCACTTCCAGAATCTTCTCTATGTGTTTGTATGTGTGTGTTTGTGTAGCGATAACTGTCACAGGGTATACAATGTCTTTTTGTTTGTTTTTGTTTAATATGTCTTTACATTTTTTGTTTTAAAAATTTAAAGTTACTTCATTCTTTTAAAATTCTTCTGTTTGACTGGTGGGTATGGAACCCAGGGCCTGGAACGTGCTAAGCACTTGCTCTACCACTGAGCCACAGCCCAGCCCTGAGGATCTCTCTTCTAAGCTTGCATTCCATGGTGCATTGCAGTGGCCTTGGCCACTCTCTCGTTGGTGGGCAGTGGTTTGCTTCCCTTGTGTTGCTGTTGCACCGTGCTTGGTCAGCCCCTGGGGTGAGCCTCCTGTGCATTTCCCTGGTGTAGATGCTGAGAATTGCTGGGGAAGAATGTGCCCGCTGTGCATCCTGATGGACGTTGCCTCTTGGGCTATATTCACCTAATTCCTTCACTGCTCTGAGGATACACGGTGGGCTACACCTTCCATTTTCCTGGGTTCATATACCTTTCATATTTTCTGAATTAGGTAAAATCATGAGTTTGCATATGTCACACTATTTACTAGTGCTTCTTTACTATTTCTCTTTGTTTTTGTTTTTGCATTTGCTGCTGCTTAGGGAGCACAGACCCCGTACCTTCATCTGTCCACTCTGCAGGAAGGAGAGTACACCTTCCGGCTGCTAGTGACAGACTCCGCCGGTCAGCAGTCCACTGCTGTGGTCGCTGTGATTGTCCAGCCTGGTAGGTGACATGGAAATGAGATCTGGCCCCCGGGATGAAAGCAGGAACAGTAACTGGGCTCCTGGGCTTAGGTTGTGACCAATTGGGCAGGAAAGTCTCTACACCTCGCTGCCGTCAGGTCCAGGCTGGGAGCTGACGCTGCTCGGAGAACCGGTTTTCTTTCAAGGTTCAGAATCTTGTCTTGATTATATCTCTAAACCGCGGTACAACATGATTGGGACTTAGCAGGGGACAACAGGGTCTGCAGGAGCCCACAGGACAGGCACCAGTGGGGGGCAATATCTGCAGAGGCTTTCACCACAAAAAATTGATAAATGAGGAGATTTGTCTGATGTAAACATGAGGCAGCGCACACACGCATGGAACGTTCTATGGTACCCGTTATCAAGTACCACTTTTATGTTTTTATGTATCAGATAAATGTTTAGAACAATAAGTCAGAGGATGGCAGCCTTCCGGCAGAGATGGGACCTTTTCACACGGTTTCTGCACTTCTAGGAAACAACAGGCCTCCCACGGCCGTGGCCGGCCCCGACGAGGAGCTGGTCTTCCCAGTGCAAAGTGCCACCCTGGATGGGAGCGGGAGCAGTGACGACCACGGCATCGTCCACTACCACTGGGAGCACATTGGGTGGGTGTCCAGCCACCCCACCACTCTAGGGGTTACAACCATGCTGAGGGACAGTGTCCCCTCCCTGGAGGACCAGCACTAGACGGCCAGTCAGGACTTGAGCAGGCTTCTAGAAGTAACTGGGCATGGTTGGCTGAAGAGTGCACCAAGTGCAGACAGACAAGATGGACAGAGACTGCAGGGCGTGGGGCCCAGGGCAGGTGGCAGGGCTGTCCTGGTGTGAGGTGAACTGTGGATGGAAGAAGCTCAGGGGGGCCTGGGGGAGCCCTGTCTGCGCCCCACCACCCTGCGCAGACTGGAGGCCACGGAAGTTCAGAGCGCAATATGACTCGGCATCTCCTGAGCTTCACACGCTCCATGTCCTAGACGTCTACGCGACGTTTTATGAGCCTAATTAAGAATGTTACTCACATTTTGAAGCTGAAAACCTAAGACGCACAAGGACTGGTAAGATCACATGGCCTCAGGTTGCCAAGGCAGGAGGAGAAGGAGCTGGGCTCAACCTAGGTCTTCTGAGAACCAAGCCTCCCTCTTAATGTACCGCGTAATGCCTCTCTTAGGACATCCACCATCTGGTTCACCCTCCTCCGTGCACTCCCTAAAGATGGATGAGGGTTTTGACCCAATTTTATTACGAAAAGAAAGGGGTAGTTTCTAAGATTCTGTTTCCAAGGCTAGATCATTTCACTGGCAGCTAATTAAAATAAAAACCAAGAATAGGGATCTTCTTCCAGGAGCTGTGGTGGTTGATGATGAGGCTTACCTGGAGAGTACCAGGGACGCAGGGTCACCATAGGATCCTCTGGGTGTGCACATTGCCCTGAAGCGGCAGCGTTTGTGGGGCAGCCACACTCTTGCCTGAGCGCCCCACGCCCTCCCTGTGTTCTCCACTGTCTTGGTTTACAGAGGCCCCAGTGCAGTGGAGATGGAGAACGTGGACAGGGCTGTGGCCACCGTCACGGGGCTGCAGGTGGTTACCCACCTCTTCCGCCTCACAGTGGCAGACCAGCAGGGGCTGAGCAGCACGTCCACCCTGACTCTGGCAGTGAAGAAGGGTGAGTAGACCACCGGCCTGCGTTTGTGTCCAGCAGGACCCTGGGCCCCGCTGGGTCGAGGTGTCGGTGTGTGCCCACTCCCTCCTTCCCAGCAGAGGCCACTCTGGGCCAGCAGGGCCAGCCTCGGAGCCGCACAGCTCTCCCCAAGCTCTGTGCAAGGAAGCACCTTTCCTTTTCCTTAGTGTACCTTGTGACAGTTCCACTCTCCTTCAGGGACCGTGGCGACCGCATCTGGAGATGTGGCCACACTCTGCTCTCTGTGGGAGTTGGGCCCAGAGGTGCTCCCAGCCTCTCGCTGTTACCTGCTCTGGGCTCTGTTCTCTTGCCTGCCTCCCGTGGTCCTGAGGGCTCGGGCCCTTTGCTTCAGCCATTTCTTCATCCTCTCTGTAAAGCAGTGCTGGACTCGTGGCAGTCACAAATGTAGGTTAGTTGGAAGGACTAAAGTG